ATCAGGGTTGGAGAGGGGCTTATGAACAACCTGTAATATGCAGACCACACAACTTTTCTTGCTGAAAGTGAGGAGGGCTGGAGACACTTGCTGATGAAGATCAAGGATTGCAGTCTTTAGTGTGGATTACAGCTCAATATAAAGAAGAGCCAAATCCTCACAGCTGGACCAACAGGTAACATCATGATAGAGAAAAGGTGGAAGCTGTCAGGGACATTGTCTTGCTTGAATCCACAATCAATTCTCATAGACACAGAAGTCAAGAGATTAAAAAAACCATATAGCATATTGCACAGGTAAAACTACTGCACAGACCTCTTTAGAGTATTGGAAAACAAGGCTGTTACTTTGAGGCATAAAGTGCACCTGACCCAAGCCATGGTATTTTCCATTGCCTCATATGCACGTGAAAGCTGGACAGGGAATAAGGAAGACCAGAGAGGAGTCTGCACTGGAATTGTGGTGCCGGAGAAGAATATTGAAAGTACCATGGACTGCTAAAAGGACAAACCAATCTCTATTGGAAGAAGTAAGGCCAGAGTAGCCCATAGAGGCAAGGATGGCGAGACTTCATCTTATATACTTTGCACATGTCGTTAGGAGAGACCAGTCCCCCCAAAGAACATCATGCTTGGTAAAGTATAGAGACAGCAAGAAAGAAGTAGGCTCTTAACGAGATGAATTGCTACAGTGGTTTCCCAGGATATATATAAGTTACACTTATGCTATAATACAGTCTATTAAGTTTACAAAAGCATTGTGAACAAGTTGGAGGTGTCTTAGAAATTATTAATATGTGACAAAAATGTGACACACATGAATTTGGAGAAATGGCACTGATGTCATTTTTCACCTGGTTGCCACAAACTTTCAACTTGCCAAAACTATCTGTGATGCTCCAAAGAGTGAAGTGCAGTCAAATGACATGTGCCTGCACTGTCCTAACTCTGAACACCATTGATTAGTTTGGACTGCATTTGAACTTGTGTTAAGTTAAACAAGAGGAAATAACTTAAATTGAACTATATTTTACCGTCCAAATGTCAATTCCCTTTGGTTCAACTTAATGTAAATGAAGTGAAAATACATATAGGAGCTCTGGTAGTGCAGTGGATTACTCACCACAAGGTGGGCTGCTCACCACAAGGTCAGCAGTTTGAACCCACCAGCCTACTCCACAGGAGAAAGAAGACTTTGTGCTTCTGTTGAGATTATCAGCCTCCGAAACCCCAATGGGCAGTTCTGCTCTGTCCTGTAGGGCTGCTATGAGTCAGAATTGACTTCATGGTGTAAATTATGTAGGTGAAAGTCAATCATATTGTTACATGCAGCAGCAGTTTCCCTTTCACTATTTTATTGCAGTGCAAAAAACAAAGTGAAAAGTGATTCCAGACAACATGGAGGAGTGCTGAGCCTGTCTGCTACATGGAGTTAGGCGATATTCAGTTTTAGTTGATAATCTGTTTTCTTGAGTGAATGGATACATTTGTTTACTGACAACAAATGACAAGAAAAATGTAAACATATTGCCATTTACAACATCATAGCAAAGCATCAGATACCTGGGAATAATTCTAGCATCAAATGCATAAGACCTGTATCCTATGTATTAGGAAAGGATAGGAATGAAAATCATTTATTATTAATAAATGAATATCCACTTGACCCAACACTGCTTACATTCCATTGAGGTCGCCCTTGTAATAAGCTGGGATAATCTCTATATGTGGCTCTGCTTATGGATTCTCTACTCAGTATTATTGTTCTATTGTCTACCCTTTCCCAAACACTACTCTCTCTTAATCACAAATCACAAA